TCAACCAAGTACAGAACTGCTAGCTGCACAAGGCTGCCAGCCAAGGATATCCACTAAAACCCAGAAGGATACAAGCGAGCAGAACAGCAAATTACAAAAAAATGCTGGGGAAACTGATACCTTTACTTCCAGATTTATTGAAAGAAACTGTGCCTTGCATTTTGGATGGCTGCACATAAAGTAGAAAGAGTAACTCCACAACGTCATTTGTACTATGAGCTTCTGAAGAAGTAAATGTGTATGAAATGTATAAGGCAAATGTGCATGAAGTAAATATTAGTCCCTTCAGACAGCAGCTATTAAAAGGGATTACAGTAGTGCAGAAAGAAGAGAATTAGACCAAAAAGAAGAAAAAAGCACTTTAGAAAAGTGTTTTAGAAAAGAGCAGAAAACATACAGCAAAGCAAAAAGCAAGGCAAGGCGAAAGGCAAGGAAGAGAACAAAACTGTCTATTACCATTTTAGCTTTATATGCACGTACATAAACATACACATAGAAGCTTAAGATCACAATTCATCAAGCATGCTTTCCACTTATCTCAATTCACATGCAAGCCACCGTCCGTCCCTTCACTGCTCCCAGTGTGACATTGGCTAGATGTGTGAAGGTGACAGATGGAGTGCACCGAGGAGTTCAGAAATAGAGTAAAGCTTTTAGATGGTAGAATAAGAAAATACCTCTTTTCTTTCCAACAAATTTTAACCACTGATATGAGTTAGTCAGACAACATTACTGCAAGCAGCTCAGAGGCTCCCAGCGCAAGACAGCTGAGGACACGTGAGAGCAGGTCCTGAGGAGGGCCATAAAAAAGATCAGAGGGCTGGAGCACCTCTCCAAAAAGAGGCTGATATAGTTGAGTCTATTCAATCTGGAGCAGAGAAGGCTCCGGGCAGGCCTCATTGTGGCCTTTTAATGCATAAAAGTAGGTTTATAAGAATGATGGAGAGAGACTTTTTCCTGGGGCTTATAGTAATAGGACAAAGACTAATGGTTTTAAACTGAAGGAAGCTAGATACAGACTGGATATAAAAAAGAAATACTTTTCATGATGAGGGTGGTGAGATATTAGAACAGATTACCCAGAGAAGCTGTGGATATACCATCCCTGGAAGTATTCAAGGTCAGGTTGGCTTTGGCTTTGAGAAACCAGATCTAGTGGAAGATGTCCCAGCCCACAGGAGGGGGTTTGGACAAGATGATTTTTTAAGTTTTTTTCCAATCCAAAGCATTCTGTATTAAGTAAAAGCTGTAAGTATGGGGAACATGAAGTGAGATGAGCTACAGACTCCTGTTTCTCCAAGATGAGTTTTGAAGGTCTGGGACCAGCCCAGTGCTCATACACTTTACATGGATAAGGATATCACTTGGCTGTATCCGAGCACCCTATATGAAGCAAAAAGTTCCATAAGACAAACCCAGGAAGGAGTAAGATGTTATGTTTGAATGATGCAGTCAACAGAAAAGTTGCCTTCGCGCTACTGAGAGCTGGCCAACTGGGACAGGCAGGCCCTCAATAGATTCTGCCAGCCAAACGCAAACCAGTTTGGCAGCAGGACTTCCAAACTGGCAATAATAACAACCAAACATCTACACAGGGGAAAGAGTAGCTCCTGACTCATCAGAAGAAAGAGGAAGGCCTGTGTCTGTCTGTCCTATTTCCAGAGTTACTCCTATGAGAAATGCTAAAGAACTGTTAAGGCCCTGAATGCACCAATAGCAACATCTTCTCTTTCCCAGTTCTGGGTTTGGTTGCAAGTGTTCAAGATCATCTATGACAGAGGGCAAGTATTTGACTCTGAATCAGCCCAGGAAAACAGCTATGTTGTGAGGGAGAGCCTCATAGGGACCTCTATACCTGTTCTTCACTTGACTGCTGCTTCTCAGCTCAGGACCTTTCCCTTGGGTCCCAAGCTGGCGTTGTACCTCGCTGACCATGACCTTGAATTGCTGCTGACACTGACCTCCTCACTAACTTTGAAGCCCATCACTATGAGCTTGTCTCACAGTCATTAGATTGTTGGCTGAACCATGTTACACGGCCAGACCTGTTTTGTTCTCATTCAGATGAGGCTGTGTCTCCAACTTGTGTCAACCCTTTTACCTTGTTGCAAAGTGCTCCTTAGAGGTGTAAAGCCATTAACAGGTGAAATTTAAGCTGTCCAAATTTGGACCTTAATGTTGCAGACCTATCAAGGACAGAAAGTCATCTCCTAAGTAGTGGTGTCTCCTGGATATTCACAAAAGGGTAGAGAAGAATTCAAGATGAGCCATGTGGCCAAAAGAAAGGTTATATAGATCAAGGCCATGTTCGGTAGTGCCCTCCCTCCCCTCTTCTCGTAAAAACACTTAGATAAAAGGACACCATGACTATCAATCAGTTTACACTATCCACCAGATCATCAGCTAAGACTATTGACCTGTATGTTTTATGTTGTAAAATCAATAAAAGAAAGAAAAGGAAAAAAAAAAATGAAAAAGAAAAATAGCAGCATAAAAATCCAAGCTGCTCAGCATGGTATTTCTCAGAGGGCTTTTGTTTGTATATTCTCATTGAGTGATACAATATACTTCTCACAATTTCATCACAGATTAAAATCTAACTGGATACAACGTTCTCAGAAAATAGGTAGTCCTTTACATACAGGAACTTCAGAATAGATATTAAAGCAATGCTGAACCTGAAATTACAGGTTCAGCTTGCTGAAGAGAACTGCTGGACAGAGATACGGATGAATTAATTAATCCTGCATATAATGGAAACAGGCATTTTTGCATGATGGTTATCACTGACAGTAAGAGATTTATACCAGCTGAGTGCCCAACCTTGACTGACATGAACAAGCAGTAAACAGAGATTTCATACCCAGAGCCTTTATGAGCATGTACCAAGGTCTTGGCCCTCCACATCAGAGCAGTTAGGGCTACATCAGCCAACAATTTCAGCCCATGTCTTTGACCTAAATACAACCCAATTTCTGGATTATACTTCTGCATTTCTGGTGAAGGACCTTTCCATTATTAGTGGTTTGTATTGTGCCGCTAAACCAGGGCTTTATACAGAAGCCTTTACTCAGGAGAAAATAGCAGAGCTTCTTCTGAGAGGAAGGTGTAAGAGCAGACTTCAGATGCAGGTCCAAGATGAGATATTAAAGGGTGCCATTTGTCATTTTTTACATTATTAAGAATGTTTGTGCAGGATCTATAATTAAAACTAAAAGAGATGTCTCCTCCTTTTGCCAGCAGCTGTGTTACATCAATTAAATGAGTAAATAAGATCTTTCCCCAGAGGGGATATCACATGACTTTCTATTGATTAAGACTGCAGTAGAACGTTATTTGCAATCTTATTGTATAATGGAAATAAGGAGGTAGCTGTCATGGTTTCAGAAGACAAATTACTGGTATCTTAGGCAATTCATAGGCCTCTTTCCTTCTTGTTGCTCTTAATTCACAGTTAATACATGTCTTACGAGGCTTAGTTTCTTAAATCAGTCCACTATACCGTATTCAGTTCAAATCTGGGAATAAATGTGTGGATTTGCATTATGATTGGTATTAAAGTGACTTTTTCATCTATCATTACTTCAGAGCCATGCATTATTTAAAAGGGTAAAACAATTTCCGAAAAAAAAGACGTGGAATTAAAAATAGTTACCTCCTGCAGCATGCATGATTATTCCTGGGAAGGACAGGCTTCCCCCACTAGGCATGGCTTCAGAGGTGTTCTCCATACAGAACATTTTTAAGACAGCCTCGTTTTGCTTACTTAATTTTCACAAGCAAACAGTGCGGCTGGAACAAGTTCACTACTCTCAAATGTGAAGTGCCTACAGCGAGGGATGAGCCTTGAGACTGATGAATATCCGACCACAACCCAGCAGACGTTTTGCTCCTCTGTTGAGCTGTAAATCATTATGCCCTTCATAGAAGAACCAGAAGGGAGGACAGGAGTCTCCCTTTAGATGACCGAAACACTCTCTGTCAGTTTGAGAAACTTTCAAAACAAGACAATCTTTCCTCACTTTTATTCAAATTTTCAGTCACAGTCAGAGAACCGCAATGCTTTTCAAAATCCCTGACAGCAATATTTAACATTACCAGAACTGTCTTCGCCGAAGTCAAATAAATGGTCTTCAGTGGTTTTGAAGCTGTGGGACATGAGACAAGATTCCTGAATGGAAAGAGTCCATCTGAATAACACTGGGGAGCAGGGCAGTGATAAAGTGATAAATTCAGAGGAAAAGTCATTTTCTGCACAGAGCAAAACTGCACAGTTTACCATAATCTATTTACCAATGCACAGGATTAAAAATTAAATGTCTGCTGCTTGATCTGTTACAGCTAAGATGATTGATTAGAATGTATTCCTCTTTCCATCCAACTTAGGAAGTTTAAAAGTGGCAGCCTTACTTTTTTGTCATTCATAAGAACTGAACTTAATAAGGTATGTGAAGGAAATTAAGAGTATGACAGTAGAACTGTTGTCCAAAAGTAATCTCCCTCAAAGTGATAACAAAGACTGGAAAAAAAAATTATTTCTTAGTGAAAAATATGGAGGGGGTTAAGACTTCAAGGAAGACATCTGTCTAGGCATGCACATCATTAGCACTAGTTTAATACTGGCTTATCTTTCCATTTAGGAAAATTATCTGGTTCTCCTAAAAAAGGATTTGTGTTTAAACCTTATGTTTCATTCTCCTTTACATTTGTAAAATAAATCTCAGCCTAGTCTTGATGAGTATAAACAATCAATGTGAGTAGCAAAAAAACAAAACCACAAGTCCCTAAAGGATTCAAGCCTGCTCTGGTTGCTTAGAACTTTAAAAGAGGCATTTGGAAGCTTAAATTAGCTCTGCAATTGTTGCTTTTGCTTGTTTGTTTGTTTTCTTAGAAAGCAAGTCATTTCAGATTTCAGTCTGTTATTTGAAAGAAAGAACACAGTCTCCTCACACATTTCCTTAAACTTAAAATTGAAAAGAAAAGTAGAAAATATTCCTTACCTTAAAAAGTCTTAAAATATTTGCAACCATAATGGACACGGAACTTGCTGCAGCACCTATCACACCTGATATCTTATCTGGCTTAGTGAAAATTGGTGGGTCGCCATTAGCACACTTCACGTCTGAACCATCTTTCTCTATCAACGCTTGTACAAATGTTAAGGATTGCTCCAATGCATAAGTGTCCCTGGAACATGTATCAAGGATCCGGACACCTAAGGTGATATTGGCAAGAAGATCGGGGTCTTTATTAATCTGATCAATTGCGTACAGCATTGCCTCTAGTCTGTGGATCCCTTTTTCCTTCTTGAGCTCCCCACAAGGCACCCCTCTATCCCCTTTTGCATGGACGGGGAACAGTCCTCCCAAGATGATGTCCCCATCCAGTCGGATGGAGTGGGCATATTCCTGGCCATAAGTTCTTTGCATCAGGGTGAGCATCCAGCAGAATTTGGCTGTTAACAGGAAGAAACAATGGCAGGAAACTAATCGTTTTCCTTCGTATACCATTTTCTCTGAAGATGTTGTTGCTATCCAGTTTCCAGATTTTCTTCTTGCTAAAGATTGAGGTTGACCATTTGAAACTGCACTTTCTGGAGGCTACCATCAGTGCCCAGTAAGTGATATAGAACCATACGGAGGGTAGAAAAACGATCTCAGCAGAACTACATAAAATGTGCTTCACAAAAGGTGTCCACTGATGTCATCGGCTGATCGGCTTTTCAGAGAGGTGGTTTTCAATTGCTCCTAATTGATGGTGAAGCACAGGGTAGTATTTCTGGTCCTGATGCTGTGAGGAAGTCAGTAACTCACGTCCTTCTATTTTGCCCTGCAGCTGAGGTGCTTCTGGGGAAAAAAAAGAGTGAAAAATACCATTTAGTTCAGCAGTTTTAAACCTGTCACGCGGTGTATTTACTTTTGCAAAAGAGTTACTTTGCCTATGTTTTACTTTTGGTGCTATGTAAGAGAGTAATTCTTGGCCTTCTGTGAATTTGAACACCTGGTGCACTGTACTACCAGCCAAGAAATTGATGATTCCAGCAGAGCAAAAGCCAAATCAGGGCAACTCCACTTAGCTTGATTTTCACAGTCTGACCCGTAATTCCTATTTACCTTTGCACTGTGTGACATCCAAAACCAGGTCTGATCTGTAACATGTATTTTCTGTTTTGCTGTATCATTCTGTTCCAGCCCGCAGAAGTGCAATAGCTCCTAACACTTGCACTTGCTGAGAGGCTCCGTGTGTGACAATGGAGTAATCAGAGCTCCTGAATTCAAGTGTGCTCTTGAGCCGCTGCAGTAAGAGCACGTTCAATTCATTTAGATATAAAACTGATTATTTTTCCAGTGGAATTCACTCTTTTCTGGGTTCACTATATATATAAAATGTCCACCAGATCATTTCAAAAACTGTATTACTTTTTTGAAAAGGTAGCCGGTTTCCTAAGCGAAAAGAGCACAGCATGTTCTGCTGGGAAAACAGCTGAACATCCAACATTCCTTTTCTGACATTTTACTTGATCTGAGGTCCAACATTAACAAGGTCTCTGTTCTCTGCCTGCATTTGGACCACGAAAAATAACAAGAATGATGTGCCCCCACTGACATCTGGAAAAGTCCCACTGATTTTAATGAGGCCAGGAATTCATCCTAAGTATCTGAATGCCTGTTATAAAAATCTCCAAATGGTCAACTCCCAAGTTAGTGGCATTTATTTATTTTAACATTTAACAAAACTGCACATGCTTGAGTAATTTTTTAGATCTCTGAGCAGAGAGAGAGAATTTCACCTAAAATTAGATATGCACACTCTGGGCAGCTGCACCTGAATCCATCTCTCCGGGCACCTATTAGAGACTCCAGAGAGCAGAGGACATTCTATGATGCTCACCTGAACATTCTTTTTTAATAAATAAATGAATAAAAAACACCTCTTTAATTTCTGATGAAATGAATCACACTGAACTCTGTAGGTATGTACGTAATCCCAAGTGATTTGATGGTTCCCACCAAAATATCACTGAATTAGAAGAGAATTGATCCATCCATACCATTTCTCAGAGACATTTTAAATTCTTTTCCACCAGTTGTTTATATATTTTGTGGTAGCAAAACCTAAAATGTGATTCTATAAGGCTTGAAACTGATCATCTTCAATTTATTTTTTTTCCCCAAAAACAATAATACTGAGCTCACATTTTAAAACAGTTTGAAGACCTGAGAAAAATATTCACCATGGGAAGCCTTCCATTTAATGAAAACGTATCTCACTGTGATCTGGTAGCAGGGCAGTGACTTGAAAATGAAACTTTTTTAATTGGTGTGAATAAAATCATTGCAGTTGGGAACAGCAGAGCACAAGACTTTCAGCGCTTCTTAATATTTAGCTTTGCTTGAGTTTGGCTCAGGGTTGAATCTTAATGAAAAAAGGCTGTGCTGTTTCCCCTGATAAGACCATCATTCTCCTTCAGCTCCTTTTGGGCACATAGTTTACAAATCTGCTCAGACGTCAGCCCCGTGAGCCAAACTCAGCCTCAGTTACAAATGGAGGAACTCAAGAAACACCACTGGCTTCCTACAGGTTGATCCAGTCTCATGGGATGGTGCCTAAGGACAGAATCCAGCCTAGGCCATAGAGTAAAGATTGCATTAACTATTAACTAGCTACCACTGGCTGACGGCTTGATTGCTTTATTGGAAAAACACAGCTAGGGACTCAAAACAGCAAGTGAAAGATGCAGCTACACCTAAAATAGATGCTATTTCCTCTCTGGTTCCATTGTGAACAACCAGCCCATTAGGCTCCACGTGTTCCTACAGCCCATGCAGGGAGCGATCCTCTGAGGCAATAAAGGATGTCAGCTCCTATTTAACACTGTGTGGAGAGCAAGAAGGCATCACTGCAAAAGTGAAAAATATCAGGAAGGGAAAAACACTGCTTTTTCTATTGCTCAGTCTCAGGTCAATCCCTTACAGCCACAGAATGCCAGAAAATTAAAGCAACTGTGTATAAACAGCGATGAATACAACTATTGCGACCCAAATTCCAACAACACTGGGGAAGCTAAAATGAACCCAGTATGCTGACTGCAAAACCTTATCTGGAAATGGGGGAAATTTAAATGAATTGACAATAAGCATTTTTCAACATTACAGTCTACATAAGCACTAATGGCTCTGCCTCAGCCTGCATGTTTTTTTGCTGCAAGTGTCCACAGCTTGTCTATAAAGCAGAAATAAAATTTTAAAATGCTCTTTTTAAAAATTTAAGGCCTTTTAGTCTATTTTTATGTTACCTATGAAATAAAAGCTTTCATTACACTGCCTAATTTATTCATGCCACGCCGCTTTCCATATATTGATTAACACCAACTTTTAGAGAATGCTGCAAGCCCACGTTACTAAGCAGGAAGCACGTGAGAAAAATGAATCCCATTTTTATCAATGAATTTCTGTGGGAAAACATGGGCTGCTGAGCTATAAAGTCTGAATGAGCTTTTCCTCATGCGCTGAGATCTCATTTGAAGTAAAATGCTGTCCTTCTCAGACTGACCATGAAAGTTCCAATTAATGCAAATCTATTCTCCATTTACCAGGTTCCCCCCTGTAGTAGTTGCTGCTCACTGGAAACACGACCTCTGTGAAGATGCTCACACATTCCCCCAGCACAGTTCAAGAATGAGCGCACCACAAAGCCTTGCCTCCAGTCACCTTGAAATGCATGCCCCTTTTGGTTTTAATTCATTAAAAATATCTGGCACTATCAGAACATACTGCTATTTTTAAAGTCAGCATTTCAGCACAGACCTCCACTCCTTCTGCTTGAATGTCTATTTATTTTTAAACCTAAGGAGGTGGGGTGCTGCAAGACAGCGGACGTGGAACTTCTGCTCATCGAGTCTGCCTCTGGCAATGCTTCCTCGTGACGGCACTCGGGGCTGCCAGACATCGGGAGCACACAGACAGGCACAGCTGTACAGTGGCACTGCTGGGACCTCACCACTCCAACACAGAGTACCGAGAGGGGCTCTGTGCTGAAGGTCTCTGTGTCACATATCTAAGTAGCGAGCTGAACGCGATGGATAAGTAATTACAGAAATGTAGGCAGGGTCTTCATTTTGGTAACAGACCTCCAGAAAAAAACAATCTCTGGTTAGCACTGAAGTTGGGGCTGAAAATCACAGCATGGTTTCACATCACCTGGAAATGCTTTTGAGAAATCCCACAACCACAGACAGATGCAAGGGCGAGGGCTGTGCCTGCATCACGGGCAGGACAACGGGTTCGCTGAACTTTAGGGGACATTTCTAATTGAGGCCACCAGCCAGACACACGTGAGCCTTCACTGACAGACCGAGAAATGGTGGGGGGAAATGTCTGCGAAAAATATGTACAGTTTTGTTCGAGGACAAAAGATGCATTTGTCGTGGCGTTGATGCATGGCCAGCACTTTCCTAAAATGAAATAAAAGTGATCATCTGTGACTTAGAAAAGGAGGAGATTTAGGGAGAAGATCCATTTCTATTTGCTCACGTCCATCGGATGCCCCTCACTGCACAGCACATCTGGTTTCACTGAATGAAAGCAAAGCAACAGTATCTCCCATTCTGAAGTTCCAGGAAGAAAAATTAATGCAAAAATGTGGTTATTTTTTGACTTCTTACTGCTAATGTTATGTCTGAACTCTCAGATACCATTTGCCTGGCTATGCTCATTGCAGTGCCCATTGAAGTCGCCTCTTTCTCCTACAGAGCGTTCAGCAGTGAACAAACAGCCAGATTTCAGCACAGAGCAGGTAAGGAATTGCCACCTGCATACAGCACCCTGACACATAGAGATGATTAATGGGGTTTGCTGACAACAAAAGGGAATTCAGACAACCTCAGGCCTTGGTATCGCAGCTCCTAACTTGCAGGAGAATTCCTCACTGATGTAAGCAGTGTTATCTTTCCCAGCCACTCTGTAGTGACTCGCTGTGCCCTGCCACCACGGGAACCTCTACACAGCAAGCAGCACTTTGCAGAGCTGCCCTCAGCACAGTGCTTACAGGAGCTGTCTCTTCCCAGCACACCACGAGGGAAATATCTTCCCTTGCCTCGATCAGCTGCTTTTCAAGCATCCCAAAGTGCCTGCCTTCACTTTCTTCCCTGCAAAAATACATCTTCCAAACAAGCTCCGCTGCCAGAGCAGCTCCAGTCCTCCTGCCAGGGTGAGACTAAGAGAAGCTCACTCTTTCAAGAGAAAATCTGCATCACATATCTCCCTCTGCCCTTGCCTGGTCGCACAGATGAATAAGCCCCATCAGTATTCACATCTTTAGAGTTGACTTCACCTCCGGTCCGGCAAGTGACGATCAAGGAGATTTGCCCAGGCAGCCTGGAACAGCTTTCCCTGCTGTTTTGGTTCTCACTTCCCCCCTTCCCAACCCGCCTCCAGCCCTCAGCCGGCCCCGCCGAGCTCAGGGCGAACGGAGCCGCGCAGCCCCCCGGCCAACCCCCGCCCGGGGAACC